GCTTCTATTCTTTTTATAATATTTTAAAAGCTGAATTGTACTTTATATAAAATCTCAATTAAATATTCAATAAAGATTGAGGCATGGCCTCATCATTAATATTTTAAAAAAAAACAAAATTTTAATTATTTGTTGTAATTCAATTGTATGCCTACACTGCTATGGTTTTTTTTGATGATGTCTTCTGTTTGCTTTTGTGTTAAATATTTTTTTTTTTTGGAATTTGTTTATTTGCTGCTTCTGTTATCACTTATTTTATTGTATTCTATATATGGTCTAGCACATCTGTATTGTATACACTAGTTCTTTTTATCTTCTTCTAATTGTTTTAGTACTTTTTTTTACTCTAATTGTACTTGAAGCTCTTTAGCATATTTTTTTTACAGTACCAGACAGTAAAAGACATCCAATTTATATATTAAGCGCCAATTTTGCAAGACAGTAAAAGACATCCAACTCTTATATAAAGTGCCAATTTCGCTGGGTAATAAAAGACATCCAACCTATTACAAAGTGCCAATTTTGTCAGGTAGAAAAGACATCTAATCTATTATAAAGTGCCAATTTCGTTGGGTAGTGGAAGCCTTCCAATCATATGCATACATATAATAAATTCAGATCTTTACTCGATCCGTATTTTATGCAAACCAATTATTATAATGATAAGAGCTACTTTGATTTAATTTCAATCTCAAACACTAACAAATTAAAGATGTTGCCTGAAACCGGCTTTACTCAATTAGCCAAGTACTTTAAGGTCAATATTATAAACATGTATTTATAATTTAAAACTAAAATCGTACATAACTCTAAAACAAGCTTTTTGAATAAGCAATTTACATTTGATTTTTTTTTTTTGTCTATTGCAGCTAAATGATAAAATTATCGAGTTTTATTACTGTATGTTAGAGGCAAGTAAAGCTTGAAATTTTGATTTTTTATTCTGATCTATTTAATATTTTAAAAGTAAATTTACTCTAGACTAATAATAGCAAAGATAAGTATTACCCACTTCCTTTTTTTTTACTTTTACAATTTAATTTAACAATTCATCATTAACCCAGTTCATAATCTCCTCATTAACTGTTCTATGCTTCTTATTTTGCTTTACTGCATATTTGGCTGCTTTTTCTGTTAACCTTTGCCAATAAGCATCCATCCACCTAAATAAAAGCCTAGCAAAGGAATGAACTTGCTCTATAGAAATAGAGTCAAATGCCTCAATAATTGATCTTTTTAGTTTTGGCAATGAATACTCACAATGAGATCGGGTATACTTTTTGGCTGCTCTCTAGTACATTTCGATGTAATTAAATTCAGAGTAGAACTTAGGATAGAATATAATTTTATGTCCTTTAGACTCTATTTCTTTTTGAATTTGACCATGCTCTGCAAGAAAGTCAGGTTGGTAGGCCATTAATCAACATGCACAACAGTTAATATTATCAGGATCTGCTTCTTTTTTCTTGCACAAAGCATACTCTAACACTAGCCCGTCTTGCCATAATCCTTTTTCAGTAAGGACCTACTTGATTCCTTTAAATAGGGATGGTAAAAAAAAAAAAATAAAAAATTTTAAATATTTTTGTCAATTTAAAACAGGTGGTGATCAGTGTTCAAAATTTAAGACTCAAATACCATTCTCATAAGAACAGTACAATGGCTATAGCTGTTCTCATAAACAAGCAAAAAAGAAAAAAACCTCCATGTTAGAAAAACATATAATAGTAAGAACTGGAACTGTTTAGCTATGTAAAATTGTTCTGTAATTCCAACATGAATTATGTTGGTAATAGGTTAAAAATTATCTTAAATGCCGGCGATTAATATGATTAAACGGTTAACCTATTAGAAAAGTTTTAGGAGGTTTTAATCTCTATATTGTAGATAAAAACACTTTTATTATTTTACTGTTCACAAAAAATTTTTAAGAGTACAGTAAATAATATGCACAAATTCACAACCATGTTCTTATGGGAACTGAGAACACTAATTTCAAACACTGGTGATGATCAAAGTCTGAATAGTTAAACCTGGATTTAAGATATTAGATCATATTCACTGTCTGTTTTTAAGCATGCAATAAAAATATTTGTCATCCCTATCTTTAGGTTGACTATGTAAATTAATATTTTTTTTTTTTTTTATCATAGATAAAATAATCTTCTTCAATAATCATCGATTGACGATCATTGTTCCATATTGTATCTCTTATTTTTGGAGCGGAACCACCTGGACTAAGATTCATTTTAGAGATGACAAGAGCATTCTTAGCAAAAGCTGTGTGTGAAGTGGCATTATTGAAGGCAAATAAACCCACACACCCTAGATATGTTCACTCAAAGATAAGTATTGCTTTTTGACTTGTTCAAGAAGCTTTGCAGAATCTCAAAATTTGTCTTGGTTGGCACCCAATACCATTATAACTCGTGCTTCTTTCTGATCATCTTTAAGAGGCCCTATTGTTTCTGTTAGGAAGTCACTTATATGCATGCTAGGTTCCAATCCTTTTTTTCATAATGGTTGTTCTCCAACCAGGCCCCACACAGAATGTGGTTTATCATAAGCATAGAAGGTACTTTCATCATGAGTCACCCATACATGCTCTTTTTCATCATCATTTAGCTGCAGAAAAGTTCTTATCCTACAATCTTGGTCAAGCCACTTAGACATAAGTTGATCAAGCTGCGCAATTTTCTTAAGAAAGGTTTGATGATAAGCAACAACATCTGGTCACTCATGTCTATCCATGTAGACACCTATAGATGTAGTGAAATTTATTTTTAATTTTTTTTTTTAATTTCAACAATAATTTCAATAATTTTAATATTTTTATAAATTAATACAGTCGACCCTCCATAAATGCATACCCTTTCTAAATGTACATTTTGCTTACAGTCCAAGGGGTGCATTTACGGAGGGTTGACTGTATCAAATAATTATTTTATTTAATTTAGATTAGTTTCAATTAATAAATTAATTTTTAATATTGAAAAATTAATTTTACTAATTTTACCAAATCATTTTTATTAAGAAGGGTAATTTCACCCCACCTATATATACCTTTTTGGTAACATTGGTAGCGAAAACCGAGCTTATGCATCCACCGACGAACTGTCTGAACTGAAATATGTTGTACAGGTCTGATATTTAATCAAGGTAAAATATGTTGATCATAATAATTCTTAACTAGTTCAGGAGTTGCTTTGAACTTTTGAGTTCGTAAGTAAGCAGTCAACTGAAGAGATACAAATTCATCATGAAGCGGGCTTTTGGTAAGCAATTTTCCTCTCAGGCTCAGTGGGATTAATTCCTCTCTCATACAAATGTTTGCCCATTTTCTAATACATTTCACGAGTCATGGACCACCATTAATTACCTTTGCAACTGTTTTTGACACCTCCATTTTCCCTTAACCATCTAGAAGCAACCAAAGAAAGTAAAGAACTGCTGTATAATGAGTTTTTTTGGTTTTTGAGAGCATTTTTGAGAGTATTTTTTCATTCATTGTTTTGTTCACAAATTCAATAGTTTTATTAATCAAAACTTCTTCATTCTCTGATTCATCATCATCCTCCGATTCATCATCATCTCCTGATTCATCATCATTCTCTGATTCATTATTATCGCATTCTCTCTTAAAAGAACTATGGTCTTCAATATCTTTTTCATCAGCGGCTGGTAGCTGAGTATTAGTAGTGCAAAAAAAACTTGTAATTTTTAAACTTTCAGCTGCAGCTTCCTTTAATGTCTTATTTTTTCTTTGACAAGTTCTTGCAGAAAGCTCGATATATAATTTTGGTCATCCCTTTTTTTCAAATTAGCTTCTGAAGCTGCAAGAAGATGGTCTATAATTGAACTTGCATCTTCATTGTTATATAGTTCATCGTCTTCTACAAATTCATCATCCAAATCATTATCCCTATTAGAGTTATTACTTTCATATTCCTAACTTAAACTAAGGTCAACAAGATTTTTAGTATTTATCGCTTGCCGAGCAGAACGAGCTGCATTCATTTTTTTTTTTGTTGCTTTTTAAGAACAAAAAGTTTTGGCATGGTGGTTTTGTAGGTGTGCAAATTCTTAAAATAATAATGCACAAAGAAGTATATCTTTATTTTTTTCAAGCCATGGTGAAGGTCGGAAACCTCTCAACAGAAGACACCCTTTTATTACAATTTTTTACTTGAATATTTTTATTGTTAAACACTCTAATTCTTTATCTAATTTTTTAATAGCCAACATATTTTCTCAAAGCAATGCCTATCTGCATATTATCTCAAGTCCCTATAAACCATACACATTAGTTAAAATATAATTTTCACGAGTTGATTTTCAAAATAAGCATAAATGAAAGGGTGCTTTATGTTAGAAAATAAATGGGAGTTATTTTGAAACAAAGCATTATCCAATTTCGAAATAATGAACATGATATATTGCAGATAAGTATTACAAATGATTTTATTAAATTATTTTATCTTTACAATTAAGAAATCAATGATTTAATCTAGTTTATTCAACAGGAGGAAACGTACCCGATCTAAACTGTTGGTGGTTAACTGGCCCATTATTGTGAAATGATTTTTTATGTGCTGTACACCAGGTGTGGGATTAAGTTTGAATCAGGTACGTTTCCTCCTGTTGGTCTACTCGGTAAAAAAAATCGTTACATATTTGATTATATGTAGCACAGCAGGTTAGTAAAAGTCTTATTACATTATTATTATCATCAAAATACATGAACGAAATTAATTTTTTGCAATTGACCCTTTGAGAATCGGCGCAAGCATTATATATTAGTGCATGAGAGTGAAAACCTGAAACCGGATTTAATGATTTTCTATGACTGGTTGCAGGTTTTCACTCTCACGTACTTATATAGGATTATACAGATAAATGCCAATTAGAAATTTCTTATTTTTCACTTATGGTTTGTTTCTGAGGTAACTTATAATAAGAATAATGGATTGGTTCTGATTAGGAATCTGTAAATGCACATGCCATGTACATCAGTATTAGTATGCATTTTTGGACCAAGTTCCTGTAATTGGCATTTTTAGACCAGGCGTCGGGTGCCCTTACCTATTTTGTGCCTATATATTTTTTATTAGGCATTATCCAAAAGTTGTGTCATTATTAATCTTTATTCTAAAGCATACTCAGAACTGGACTCATTTTATTTGATCATCACTAATGGTGTTTAAGTAAATGCGATATAAGATTAGATTGCCACTGTATAATGAGAACATTAAGACCTGTAGCAAAGCGAAAAGATGATGGCAATATTATTGTAATGCCTAATCTTGTATGAGCCATTGAGACTCAGCACATTCAGGTTTCTTGAGTCCAAAAGTAGATATGGATCTAGGAACATTATTGGCTTCATCTGGCTTATTATAGAAGCTGATTAATCAACAGAGCCAAGTAAGCTGATAACATCCCTAGGTGCATCATGTTGTATCAGTTTGAAGGTTGTGTATTAGTAACTACAAGGCCAATTAAAAGATTTATTCTATCCAAGGTTGTGTTATGAAAATTGACTTTACAAATGCATGTAATATTACATTTGAATTTTAGTAAATCAAATGTGAAGTTTGCTGCATCATTTGGTTTGAATAAATGTACAAGCTAATGAAAACTAATTTGCTGAAGTTTACCATAAAAGTTTATAAAATTTTTACTCAAAGATTGGATTTACGTTCTAGTGCAAAATTTTAGCCAATGAAATTGTGAGCACGTGATTTGTTTATATTATACATATGTGTCAATTTTTGAAGTTATTATAAAAATTGGCAAACTTTAACCTGGTATAACTTTTTAAAAACTAATTAAAATAAAAATTCCTCTGACAGAATTGTAGCTTGACTCAAGAACTATTGATTTGTCAGAAGGATTTTTGATACGATGTCTTGTTCTTAAGTTATAACAATTTATAATAAGCCAATTTTATTGGATGTCTTTTACTGTTCAGTACTGTAGTCTTTTTGCTTTGCTTCTTTATACTAATATATTGTTCTTATTTGGTCTTTATGTTTGGTTTCTGCACAACTTTAGTTTACAATTACATGCTTTAACCATATAACTGTTGTTAATATTTTGTAGTTACTGCCTGTTATACCTTCTGCTTTCTCTATATTGGCTTTTTGAAGGCCAGCTACAATTGTTTCTAACAACCAGATATAGTCAATTCTTGTTGCTATTTCTTGACTTGACTATGTATATGCTCTCTCTGTTAGATGCAAGTTTCTAAAAGAGTCTATAAAGTCTTGCCTCTTAAGTTAATTAAAAATTGTCAGTTTTTTATGTTTTGTTGTTTGCAGATTTAGTCTGTCTAGTATATTGTATATATTAATTTTTCAAAGTTACTAAACTATATATTTTAATAATATAATGATCTAAACTTATTAGATCTATTGTATTAAAATATATATCTAAATATTTTAATAAATTATTAAATTTAAAATATATTTTAGAAATTGGATTATAATTTTTTAATTGTTTTTTAATAAATTTTTAAGTATTATTTAAACTAAATATTCAAATTAAATTTGTAAATTTATAAGAACTTATAGTTTTAATATTTTTTTTATATAAAGGACCAGATTAATGATGATCAGACCCAATATACAGGGCAGACTATAGTATCTTCTGCAACTGTAAAAACTAAATATATGGCAAATGCTTCTATAGAAAGAACCTCTAACTTTTCAGATACCAATACATTACACTCTTTTGAGACCTTTTTCAAAAATAATACATTATCTACTACACTTACATATTCCTATATACTAACTATGTTTATTAGCACTCCATTCTCTATTTAACAATCTACAAACCTAAATACTACTAATAACAACTACAAATTATTATCAAATAATGATTCTCTTAATACACCAACAATGAATACTATCAAAGAGAAAATCCTAACTTATATTTCTAATTTACTTGAAATATATAATCTCTTAACATGCTTCAACAAATTCCTATTCTTACACAATCTTCAACTCTTATCTTTTCTGCAATCAATAGGATCCTTTCTAAAATGCATTCAAGAAGAATATCCAACATATTACTTAAAACAATACATTAAAATATCTATTAAAACAATTAACAATATTTATGTAGAAACATATATTCACATTTTACAAGAGACTATATTATTATCAAACTACTTATATATTCTTTTTAAAGAACTCTTAAACTTTCAAAATACTTTACTTAAAACAAATTACCTAGCAACAACATTTACAATACTCTCTTCTTTAGAATATCAATTTCTGTTAAACAACATCTTTCCTACTACTAAACTACTCATTTCATCAACACAAAAAGAAGACAACATTTTAATTTCAGAAAACCCAAACCTTAATACAAATCTCAACTCTGATATACCTAATACTAACATCTCTTTCTTACAAAATACAAATACTTCTGCAAATAATATCTCTAACCTTAATACTATTAACATCAATCATATCTTGATTCCAATTAAAATAGGCTCTATAAACATCAATAGTTTGATCCAACCTTCAAAAAAACCCTTCTTAATAAATTTTTTAAACAGCAACTCTTTTAATATATTAGATATATCTGAAACACATTTATCAATTAAAACTGAAAAATTTTTTAATGCTCAAATTAAAAATTATACAAGTATTTGGAGCTCTTATTCAAATACATACCAAGTAGATGTTAGTATTTTTATTTGCAAAAACATCTCTAAATACATTGACTGCACTTATAACTATAAAGAACATGTTGTTGGACTTGATCTATATCTCAAAAATCTTTCACTAAGATTACTTCAGATTTATATTTCTACAGCTAAAAAGAAACAACTTCGCAAAGATGTTCAAGAATATATCATTTCTTTACTACAAAATCTAAATTACAAAATAATAATCATAAGAGACTTTAACAGTGTTCTAAACCTTTATATTGACTGACTACCTCCCAAAAAAACCTTAATTTCTAAACTACAATTAACTACATTTCTAATTAGTCACTAATACAAAACCTTTATCAATTCTTCTTTTCTGATACCAAAAATTACACATTTCAATAATCAAATATATAAAGTAGAATTGACCAAATTTGGTCTAATCTATCTTTAACAAATATCGATTATACAGATATAATTACTACACATTAACTAAACTCAGATCACTATTTAATTACAATTAAAATATTTGCTATTCTTAACAAACTGAAACTGACTAAACAACAAAAAAGAAAATGTTTTCTTTGAAAAAATACTATTAAAGAAATTTTAAAAAATTATGCAAACCAAACTACTTGTAATATATTACCAATTACCTTTCAGATTACTTCTATAACTAATCAAAACCAACTTAACCTTACATAGAACAAAATTAACAAAGTCTTAACCAAAGCTGCAACAAAACACATCTTTTTTAAAAATATTAAAACTATGTCTGAAATTAATAATAACCTTTCTCCTAAACTATCATTTCTATTCTACCAATACAAACAAATTCAATATCTAAAAAACTACTTTAACTCTTTAAACTATTACTCTTTACTTCAAAAATACTGATTAGACTATCTCAACAATTCTTTGCTAACAATATTATCTTCTTTTGATCAAATCAAAAATGGATTATTTAAGTTAAAACTGCTCTTAATTACTATTAACAACAAACAATTTATAAGGATATTAAACAAAAAATAAAAGAATATAACTAACTTTTTACAAACTCTCCTAAACTCTTTTACAAAAAATCCTAGAAAAACAACATAGCCTATATATAGATCGACTATTACTAAATAATACATTCCTCACAAATCATAATAAAGTTTGTTCTGCAATTCAACAACACTTTACCAAATACTTCAATGAAAAACTCCTACCTTTCATTTTCTCATTCTCTGAATTCTATGAACTATATCAACTGTATTCTGAACTTAAAATTCATTATCAAACCCTCTTTCAAAAAATAACAAACCAAAAATAGAATAATACTATTACTAATTTACCAAATTAAAAAGCTGCAGAT